AACTGCAAAGTCTTATTTTCCTTATTTAGTGTGGTAAAAATCCTGTCATTTATGATGATCTAACCCCACTCTCTAGCTCTCAATATCCTTCTTCAATTCAATCCCCCATTTAGCACTTTTTGATTCAGTCCTTGGTTCAAAAAAAAAAATCCTTCGAATCAGTCCCGTGAACTTGAGCTAAATCCTTCTCGCGACAGAATTCTCTACCTTCATGTTAGATATTCAAACATGAATATCTTAAGCTTCTGGTATCGAAATTAAGCAATTCAAAAGCCCAAATCCATCTACGTGTCTAGGAATACAACTTTGATGAAGGAGTCGAAGTGAGATAAAATCATTTTATATAACAGAATCTAGCAATAATTTAGTTGGTTAAAAAGGGTCTCCTATTCTAATTCAGAAACTGACCATGTCGAGCGTCCTGATATGACTGAGAGCATGAAATAAGAACAAAAATCATAAAATTTGTGATGAAAATAGAGTTTTTTTAATGTAGACTCGGGTCAATATCCTTCTCGTGGCAGAATTCTCTACCTTCACGTTAGATATTCAAACGAGAATATCTTGAGCTTCTGATATTGAAATCAAGCAATTCAAAAGCCCAAACACATCTACATATCTAGGACTATAACTTTGATAAGGATTTGAAGTGAGATAAAATCATTTTAGAGAACAGAATCTGGCAGTAATCTAATTGGTCAAAAAGGTTCTTGATCTGGCAATGTTGAGCATCCAAATCTAACTAAGAATCTGCCCTAAGAACAATGATCCTTAGGACCTAATAAAGGTGTACGTCAATTTTTCAACATGTCATGAGTGACAGAATATACCTAGGATGGTCAGATATCATACGAAACCGAGTCAGAATCGGAGCCTAAATTGGAACAAAAAAAAATTGTGATAGTAGCAGAACCATTTTTTTAGTTCAAATTCTGAGGGATTTATTCAACTTTAAAAATTAGATAAAAAGGAACGAGTTTAGCATTATAAAGACTCTTGATCAACTTAAGAAAACCTTATGATTTTGGTAGCAAAAGGGAAGGATAAAAATAGCAGAATACAGCTCAAACAGGGTTTCAAAAAAATATTTCTTTTTTTTTTTGTGCTTTTGCCAATCTTCCAGCAAATATAAGTTAAACTCCTACACTCAGTTCAAAAGAGATATATAATGTCTTCATCACGTGGGGTTCAAAAATGAGTAACAACAACTAACTTGTTTATATATTTATTAAACAATTCAAACTAGTCAATCTCAAGACTATCCAATGATTGAGCCTAGTAAATTTAAATAATTCATAAACATGAGTCTATTACACCCTATTAATATTATGTTAAATAATTCTTAAGAAGACATCTATTAACAACACTCTACTAATTGTGCTCTCAATATTACTAGAAAGGATTGTTGTGGAGGGGTGCTCTAAACATTATAACAAAAATAAAAATGTTCTTTCTTTATAGATTCATGGTATGAACATTCTTATTTATTATAACTCATTACCATTATTAACTTCTATTATTATTATTTTTTAAGACTAAACAATCAACACAATTTAGCTCTATAGACTTCTCAATAATGATAATTACGCCAAAGCGTACATTTTTATGTTTACCCATAAAATCCCAACAAGACTCTAATCTCAAAGTAGTCTAATAAAAAAAGTTCATAGCCAAGTTAAATACTCACATAAATATATTGTGATGTGATTGCATAAGGCCAGATTCAATCTTAGCCAATTAACATGCCAACTTTCTTGGTGCAAATTACAAACCCAAATATAAAAGTGCAAGTTTCCAAAATCAATTTAAATGTGGTCGATTTAACTCTACAATCCTCACCGGACGTAAAGTATTTAAGTGTATTTTTATCAACAATTATCTTATAAACAACAGAAACCAATTACTCATAACTTAACCACCTAAAATGAATTAAAATTGACAATATTAAAAAAGCTTGAGGTATTTATAATTAATCATATATTTTATTCATGTGTTGATGGTCGGTAAAAAATACATAATTGTGTGTGAGGAACATTGAATACAAATGCTGGCCATAAAAATAAAAAGGTTATTTGTAGCTGCCATGATAATGGATGTCAGATGTGGATAAATATTTTAAAGATATTTTTAAAAATGAGGATTATGATTAATATATAGACCTAGAGAGAAGGTAAGAATTTTTAATGATTCATAACATTTTTTCAGTTTTTATTCATTTAATTATTCATTAAATGAAGTTAAAATATATATTTATTTAATATCATTTAGTAACAACACATCGTTATTGAATCTCTTAAATTAACTCTCCTATAAAACTTTGGTTAGATACTAATTCACTTTATCTTTCTTTCTAATAAATTTTTATTGGTTAGGGTTTCTTAATTCGTTTTTATATGTTTATGTATTTTATTTTTCATATAATATTTATCTTATGAGTCAATATAAAAATTTATAAAACATGACACATGATTTAACATAATTTAAAGGAATATAAAAAGTATTATGTAAAGGCAAAATCCATAAGAAAAAAAAATAAAAGCACACAGGCAAATGGTGCCAAAAACCTTTTTTCATATATTTTGCAGTCATGGAAGCAATATGCTAACATTTAAATTCTTTCTCTTGTATAGGAAGGTTATTGTCGTTCATATATGTTGGTGGTGTTAGGGGGATAAGTTTTTTTTGCATATGATTCATCTATCTTTGAGCAAGTTATTGCTATTCATACATCTTTGAGAGCAATACAAGACATGGAAAACCTTTTCAAAGCCAAAGGCATTGACCAAAAACCTAAATTCAAGCAAAGGAAGAGATTTTTTTTGCACATGATTCCCTCCCAAGTGTGTGTACACACACACACACCATACAAACACAACTTATCTATATAAAATTTAACAAGAAGAAAATTAAAGATAAACTAGAATAATCTCTTTGAGATATTATACAATTACAAAAACAATTCAAAAGACTAATTTCTATTTAAAAATAAGTTAAAATTCAAAAGACTAATTTCTATTTAAAAAGAAGTTAAACTAAAAATTTAAAAATAAAATAGAGGATATTAATTAAAAATCAAACTTAAAAATAAGTTATGTGTTGCTTGGCTTCACAAATCAAGCTCTCATACTAGGCCTAAAAAATCCCAGGTGCACCTGAGACTTGGAGTTCAAGGCAACACTTCTAGTTTTGTTTTTTTTTTTTATCAAAAACTTAAAGTGTGGATGACATGTTGTTTATGCAAGTTTTTTTTATTTATATAAATATAATATTATAATATTCTTTGAAAATTTCCATAAGTGAGGCATGCAAAGTATAGAAAATATCAACATATGAAATTATATTAATTTAAATTTTGAGGATGAAATTAAAAAAAATAAAATTTGATAATGGAATTGATAAAACAAATCAGTGACCAAAACATAAAAGAAAGAGTTATGAACAGTGGTGCAAATAGTTAAAAGAATATTAATGAACAATATTTTCTGTAATGTATTTTGTACAATAAAAAAGTAATGTATTTTAGTTTATTAGAAATAATATAGTTATTTCTCCAAAAACATTTCCCACTTGGAACACATTTATAATATATCTTGAAATTTGTAATGAAGAAAAATAGATATTTTTAAAATTTATTTTATATATTTAATTTTCTTTATATTCTATGAGAAATGAATTAGTTTATAATGTTATAAATACATAAAAGAGAGAGAGGATAAAAATGTTAAAAACAAGGAGGTCACATGTTCAATCTAAAAGTTACACAAAAAGTTTTTTGATTCAATAAATTATTTTATTATTTTTTAGATTATGGTGTAAGAAAGAAGAGAGAAACTTCCCTTAAAAAAACTAACTTGGGTTCCTCTTCTTAACCAAAACTAAACATCTTTATATCAATAGGTTTTTTTTCTTGAGATTAATTCAATGGAGGTTTTTTTTACCTTTAACTTGCCCTAAAAAATAGATCTAAGAGTGAGAGAATTTTTCTTCAACTTAATTGATTTATGTGTTTTTAGATGAATATCAAAGTGTTTTGATTCTCTATATTAGTTTATGAACATTATAAGAATGTTCATTATGTATTTTTGGATAAAAATATATTAAAAATAATTTTTTTATCTAAAAAATCCTAGTCACCTATTCGATTGCTAGAAACTAATTATCAGATGACATAAAAATAATTTTTTTATCTAAAAAATCCAGTTTAATTTTCTAGTCACCTATTCAATTGCTAGAAACTAATTATCAGATGAAATATTGTTTGTTGTGGTAGATGATTCGATGCTTACTTTTTATTTTTAAAAATTAAAAAAAACGAATAACATATTATTCATCACTTTATTTAAATAAAGAAAATAAAAAGACCTTGGGTCTGTATACTTGGTTCTGCAAGTCTGCATACGAGACACTTATTTCTTAGACGTTCACTTAAATTTAGTCGTTTAGCCTCTTTTCTTTAACCGGTTTTTCTTTTTAGAAGCTTTTCTCTTCTCTTTTGCAAAGATTTGAAAAAAAAAGATATATTTTTTAAAAATATTTTTTAATATTAATATGATATTTTTTTAATAAAACTATTGAGTGATTTTTTTACCCTTCTGTGATTTGTCTTTGTTTTATTTTATTAAGTTTAACCTTTTTTAGACCGTGATGTGAGAAAGGAAAGAGAAACTTGCAAAAACAATGAAGAATAGTGTTTTTTTTGTTTTTTCCTTTCATATTTTGTATAAATATGTTTTGTTTCCATAATTTATTTATAAATAAAAAAATTATTTGTTATTGGTTAAAGAAAACAAATTTATTTTTTATTGGTTAAAGAAAGAACCTCAAAGATAAAATAAATAAAAATGTTAAGATTAGATTAAAAAACAGTTTGTATTTTATAATTAAAAAACATAATATTTGAAAAAACATCCACAATATTCACATGTTCTTTTATTATGTTTGAAATTAATTGGCACCAGAGCAGGAGATCAAACTAGTTATTGTCCTATTGTTGCAAGAACCAAACAATTAAAAAACTTATTTTCGAGAGAATAATTGAAAATAATAAATATTCATGATTCAAATTTTACTTTATTCATATCCTATCTATCATCTAAAAGATAAAATTTTAAACATTCATACTACATCATCAAGTCTCAGATATTCATCATCTAAATACTATTCATTATTTAACACGAAATAATATATATATATATAGTGGTAGCTACAATCAAAATTCAAAGACTTGCATAACTGATTGTCTTTGTCAAAAAGCTGTACAGGTTATTGAATTTGATAACTGTGGTTAAACTTCAGAAGCATGTAAGCACACATCAGAACATCAAACAATTTTTCTTAATATTTCATCCATCCATGTTAAACCATCTACAAATACGTATCTGAGGACCTGAATTTTCAAGAAAATGTAGGATCCTTGTGTAATGTTTTTCCATCCAGAGGCTGGATAATAACACCTGGGACTTCTGCAGGCGGCAGATCATACTTCAATTAACTTTCCTCTGGTTTAGATTGTGAGGATTGCTCATCTGCAGAAGCAGGGGACCCTATAGGTTTCTTAAACTGTACCGTGATCATGGTCATATTGTCACATCCCTCACCACTTGCTGTTGATGGCGCCAAACACCTATCAAGGACTCTCTCACACACTGCAGAGAGCTTGTTTTCCTGCATTATTGAGGTTTCCTGTCAGATTTTTGCAATGCATAACCTAGCAAATGTAGATTCACATCATAGAATCAACAAGATCATTTTTTTTCCCTCCACGTGAAAGGTAGATTGGTACTAACGTTAATAGCATAAGCTCTCTACCCAAATATTCCATCAACATCTAAATTTAGAAAAACAAATTTGGAGAGACGAATGAAAGAGTAACATTTCAAAACCTAATAAGAAGAGGTCTAAACCACATACCGAATGTAGTTGTTCATGAATAAAATCTACTAGTTGCTGGCTTGACATGCAATCCCTGAGACAACAAAAATGACCAGTTATCCACTTGTAATTAATTAGTCATGACTTTGCTACTGACAGTTCTACAAAATGAATAAACTTGGATTATCAGCACACTGCCCAGGGCCTATCCAAGTGATCCACAGATTAATTTAAAGTGAATAAAAGATTCAAAGGCAGCAGTTGCGATTCAACTTTAGATGATTTCTGAAACTTCAAGGAAGTGTAATCTTCAAGTCATGGAAACACAATAAACACGCCTCAATCCCACAGACAACAGCAATCTATACTTTTATATCACTAAGCAGTGTTGAGCCTCTAATTCAAAGGAAACAGTGTTCATTAATTTCCTAGTTCTTGTCATGTAAATATGTGGCCATCAGCTAGGGCTAGAGCTCGCTTTATATATTCCACTGAGTTCCCTTCAATTAAAACTACCAAAGCCTCCACTCAGTTTTTTGGTATTGTATTTTCATCACTAAAATCCAAGCATGTTCTATTTCTTTGTTAAGAGAATCAGCACATCATGGATCGACATTCTAAGGCACTGACTAAGAAAGATAACATTAGATGCATACCATATTCCATCACATGCCAGCACAAGAAAATCATCATCATCACAAAGCTCAAGCTGTTGCAGGAACAGAATAAGGACAACAAAATAAATGTTAATTGAATACAAAGAATTTCAGGTATGAAAAATAAAGTAGATGTTAAAGCAATAAGAGAAAATCAAGGTGGTATTGAAGATGCGCACAGGACCATAACAGCATGACCAACCATGATTTGGAGAGTGATAAACAAGGCCTATTAGGAGGGCAATTTGTTTGAATCAAAACATAGCAGAAAGTAGAAAACGCATACAGTGTTTATATCTGGATTGGCTGTCACGATTTGCTTTTCAACAGGTAGATATTTATTCTGCTTGAACTCCACATCACCTGCATTACAAACAAAAATATGAAGAATTGAAAGAAGATACCTCTCTCATAAATAAATGCACATGAGCGTGATTGTCCCCTCATTAAGATGCATACCAAGTAAAATGTGTGCATCAAGGATATACAAACACAGACATGAATATGAAAGTACAGATGTCAGTGGGAGTGCACATGGAGGGTCGGTGCAAACATGTTTTTGAATGGCAGTGCATGCCCAAAGCTTTTCAATATGGAAAACAGAACAGTTTCAGCCTTGTGCTCTATGGTATAATCACTTATAAATCCAGACACGGAGAACCAGAGATTGAGTCTCCAAGCCACACTCGCGGAGCAAGGGACTGGGATCAGGAGTTCACAGGAATGTTAGGTACCTATAGCCCTTGAAAGATTTAAACTGCCATTGACCCGCCCTGCATGTATGAAACCACCAGCTTTTAAAATCCGTTCTTTCTCAGCCTCAAGATCAGGTTTGTGATCTCTAGACAAATTGTAAGCCTGCAACAAAGAGAGCTATGTTTACTGAAAAAAGTATACAAGGTTTTGTCCATATCAACCATATGCCTCTAAGCCCATTTATCAAGATACTATCCCATCACCTTAAAACTTGGAGAAAAGGTGAATTGATTAGCTGAGGCAGAAGTAAAGTTGTAGGAAATTTCAACAATCCAAACAAACCCTATCCTACAAACAATCTTTAGTATTTTGGGAGAAAACCAAACTATCATTTCTAGTTAAATGAAAAATACCTGACCCTTTCTTGATATCACACATCTAGAATCACCGGCATTCGCAACAATGAGGTGGTTGTTTCTAATAATCGCAACACAGGCTGTGCTCCCAGAAGTAGGTCCAGAGAAGTCAGAGTGAGGACCCTGATCACCATGTTAAGAGTAAAATAAGTTCTTAGACCATTTATATTGAGTGATACAAAGATCCACTATTACGGTATGTGTGGTTGATGCCCAACATATGCATTTGGTTTGTGTATAAAATAATAAAGATCCATTTTTAACATAGTTATGTTTCTGGGTATTTTATACATATGCATTTGATAGGAAAGGTATGTTTCCCTGAAATTAACATAGTTGGAGACAATTATACAAAGGCAATAGCTGCAGTGCACTCCATTTGTTTCTAAAATACCTCTTCAAAAGCCCAATCATCAGGCTGTTCATGACAATCACCACCCCTTGGAGACCATATTAACCCTTCTATCATGCCAGTAAACTTGGTTATCTTATCACCCAAGGCAGCTAGTTCCCGCCACCCTCTCTGGCCACGCATCATCTCATCCATTCTGCATGAAATGGGAAATCATGAGTATATGTATCTTTAATTAAAAGTTCGGGAAGCATTTTTACAATATTGTTTTGAGAAAATAGTAGGCACTTACAGACTATAAATCCTGAAATGACCAAATATGCATGCTAAAGAACAAAATTTATGAGTCAAAAAAATCATTAATGCAACAGAGAAATGAAAGACATTATCAAAATTCCTTTAAAATGTTAATAAGAAATATTATCGCTATCACTATGAGGCTCAAAACTCTTGCATCAAGGATGGAGAACAACATCAAGATAATTCTAAACATCAAAACATTATTAGATTGGTACATTACTGTTCACTTAAAATAGCCTTCAATCAAGTAACCTGAAAAATGCTCTCTGGACAGAAGTTCCCATATCTCCTGCTGCATATGCTTCATTCTTGCGAACCTGCTGATGGAGATACTTGGCACAGAATTTTGCAACTACTTTACCTGCAAGTTACTGAACTAAAGTGAGTAATAATGACCTAAATGCCACTTATACTAACATATAGGTACAGCCGTACAAGAGGTATAACAAGGAACGTGTTCAGAACTGAATAACCACCCATAAGAGACGAGCATCAATGGAAACCAAAACAGGAATTCAATGGCTGAAAATTTTATTCAATAAGCGCCCCCCCCCCCCAAAAAAAAAAAAAAAAAAAAGGTGTTTACTGGATACATATTTCTTCCATCACAAATACCCAACTCCACTAAGACTCAGTTTTGAACATGTTGAATCAGGCCACGTGGATTCTTTCCCTCAATCATTAGCAGATCACAAACTTGAAGTGAGTAACAGAAGAAAATTAATCCCAAAAAAAGTATAGGCAAGATAATGCTAAGCTTTTAAAATGGTCAGAGACTAATCATTTATTCACATGAAATTGGAATTGAACATAGTGAGATTACTTTGACTTAGTTCATCTAAGGGCATAGCCAGAAGTCAATCAAAAAACAACAAAATCAGACATGGTGAACATTCAGGAAATAACATTTTAGTTAAGCAATGATATGTAGCATATTCAAATATACATGAAACTTGCAAGCCTTACCTCCATGTCCATCATAAACACCAAAGAATGAAGTGGTAGCGTCCAAATCAGTTATTGCAGCATGCTAGGAATACAAATAACAATAACCATATAACAAACAGCATATCATTTATGTAAAAAATAAAATAAAGTATAAAACAAATGGAATAACACATGTTCTGGAATTTGCTAACATGTGAATGAAGACCTCAACAACAATATTTGAGAATAGAAACGGACAAGACAGACAAATTATAAATTAAGCGATATGTTCATGCTTAACAAGTGTTTGAGCAGTGATCAACTGTTTGTGGAAACCATGCCAAGAAAAAAAAAAAGTTAATAGAGGAGTCCCAGTTGGGAAAGTTTCTGCTTAACCAAATTTATCATTGAAACTGCCATAACAAAATCTTTCAGGACATCCCCACTTAAATTCATTAGCACATTCATATTCCGGACTAATTAATGGGCACCAAGGTTGTTGGTAACAAGACTGAAAAACTTGGAATTTCCGCATAGATCAAATGCTGGGTTAACTACTCACTGCATCTTCCATGGTTGCACGCCAACCTTGCATGGATGATAAACCATATCTAAGCCTACCATTCTCGCCATCCTCTGAAAATTTCTCCGTCTTAGGAGAACTAAGGTATATCCCCATCACTATCTGAAATCAAAGAGCAAGTAACTACGAGTAAACACCAAAATAAGAAAAATTTGGATCAAACAACTCCATCCAACAGAAACGCAAACTACAACATAACTAAAATCTCATGCGCGCACTTCAGTCCCAATCGTAATATATTCTTCAGTTATCAAAATTCTGAAAAATTCAGCTTTTGATGCTTGACACTGGCCAAACCTTCAGACAAAATCAAGCCATTTCATTTTAAATACCTTTTAAAATAAGATTATCGCCAAACTTGTTTCTATTCCTGATTCATCACAGCGCACCAGGTCAGGAATTACGCCATTAACTGATTAAATCAAATCCAAAGCAACAACAAACAAGCAGAGGTTTCAATTAAAAAATGTACAATCTTTAAAAAGATTTAAAGCCATAGTTAATTTCCTTGTACAAAAAACTGCATATCAAGATCCAAGATCAACTCAAATCAGGTAAGTACAAAAACCCAAAAGCCAATTTAAAAAACAGTAACTGGATAACAGAAGTTTCAGATCAAAGAAAACAACAGTAAAAAAACAAAACTAGATACAGATCCCAAGTTGCAACTCCAACATGTCACCGTAATTCAAAAAAAGAAAACTTTCCACAAAGCAAAACCTACTTTAAATTTAAAAAAAATAATAACAAACAGCCAAACTCCCATCAAAGGATATCAATAACACTACATAACATCAAGACCCAGATAACAATTTCAGATACTATAATACAACAGATAAAAAAATACTTCAGAAACCAAGAAAGTCCAAAACTTTAAACTAGCCGGTACCTTATTGGGGGGGGGGCAGACAGAAAGGGAATCTAAAATACCTGAAAACAAACACCTTTTCCAAAACTAAGAGACCCATCAGAAGTTTCAGATAATCTCAGAGGAAAAAACACAAGAGAGTGAAGCAAGAATTCGAGAATGAAAAAGACAGACAGGAGCTTGATGGGGGGGGGGGGGGGGGGAAGGGTTAGGACTTGGTCAAGGAAGATGATGGTATTTTCTCGAGTACTTGAAGGAAAAAATAATAAAGAAAGGAAGAAAGAACTCTCTCTCTCTCTCTCTCTGTCCCTACATTTATACAAAAAGGATTTGATTAGTTTGGATTGGAAGATCAAAGACTGGACCCTTGCTTTGATTTATCATTGTTTACAGTTTGTACTGTTGAGTTTGATAAGATTTTGGTAATCACGTCTTGTCAGCAAGAGAGAGGAAGGAATGTGAAATGTATCAATCTATAAGCTATATTTTTATTTATTAATTTAATCTAACAACTAAAGTCTAAAGGGATTTTTATTTAGTAATTTAATTTAATTTAATTCCAAGATTTATGACACTTAATTTACATATTTATGTGTTAGGTATCGTTATAGGGATGTTTAATTTTATTTTCCAAGAATTTGGATGGCAAGGCGAGCAATTCCTTCATTTAAATACATATAAATTATATATTAAAATTATCAGAAAAACATTTAAAATATTAATTTAATATTTTTTCACATAAAAAAGCCTTCAATTAAACTCATGTGCCAATTAATTCCAATGATGGGATTAACGGTTCCATGTAACAAATTATTTCTATATAAAAAAAGGGGGAAATTGATGAATTTAGGGTGGAAAAAACCATGAGGTACTTAATGGTATTGTTTAATGTTTAGCCAGATGAATATATTTTTTAATATAATAGAAGATTTGAAGATGCACATTATGCCTTAATCACTTCAATAATCAAGAAGGTGGGAGATATAGAATTTCACATCCACCATTTACAATGCACAAGCCATGTGCATTAACATGTGAAGAAGATTTGCAAAGGAATGTATGTTTCCACCACAAAGTTAACAACTGCAAATAATAATTTAGCTGGTTATTAAAATTATAAAATCTAGATTGATCTAGTAAGTCAATGCAGAATCTAAGTTGGTTTGGATTAAAAAAATAGAAAAAAAAAATTTAATCTAATCCTTTAAAAACCTAGATTAACTTGCTACTAAGACATTAAGAGGTGAAATTTGATTAAAAATATTTTTTAAAAAAATTATTTTTGATGAATTCAACTTTAAAATTTGAGTTAAGTTAATGTAGTAATTAATAATTTTAAAAAGTTGATACGAGGGTTAAAAGATTATGTTTTGCATTTAATAATCAAATTTTAAAAAAAAAATCATTAAAATTAACATGATTTTAATTTACCTAAATTAACCCGTAATTAAAATGAGATCCATTTTGAGCGGCTGTAAAACCCGTCTATTTTAATAAAATAGTCCACTTATAATATTGCTATTGAACTTAAATTCTTCTGTCCATGGGACGACCTCCAATTTCCTGGCTCCTCACCGGGAAAAAATTGAAGTCAATAATTTGGGCCAGCCAATAAGTGATTTTTGTTGATTTTTCCTTAAAGTTTGGCATATTTTATTACCTTTTTCCCCCCTTAATATCATCTTATTTTTAAATCAACTTTTGGTAAAGCTGCTATTATCTGAGTTAGTGTTAAAAAGGCCGATTATTATCTACAATAAAATATAAAAATAGAATTATTTTCCCCCATGAGATAATGGAAAAAAGATTAGTAGAAAGGAGTAAAAAGATTAGTAAATAATTTATTTTTTACATCAACATATCTAAACAATTTAGAAATATCAAGACAATGATTTAAAATAATAAAATTAATTTTTTAAAAAAGTATTTTTCACCCAAAAAAACCTAAACTAAATATTTTAATAATAATAATTAAAAATAAAATCTTTGTTATTTTTCTGCCCAACAAAAACAAGAACACCAGCAGATTTTTCTAGAATACTGATTAGGTATGGCCTTAATTTTATTTAATTCCATGTTTCCAATTAATATTGTGAGAGGATAATATGATTTATCACCATGGACCCACCAACAACCAGCGATGTGACAAAGAACATTTAAGAAATATTAATTTAATAATATATTTTTTTTATATTTTTAATATTAACACATTAGAGGGAACATTTAAGAAATATTAATTTAATATTTTTCAAGTAAAAAATATTTTAAAAAATAAATTACAATACGTAAACAAACGCCCGTCAATATCCATTCAAGAAATCATGAAGTGATTGGCAATGTATTTATTTATTTTAATAGGAAGAGGTGTCTTTGAATCAATTTATATATTTAATATCTCCTTGTAGGTGAAGATAATCTCTAAAACTTAATAATTATTTCATTGAGATTTTATTTTTTTCTATAAAAATAGCTTTTTATTGTTAAAAAAAGTTGCATTTTGGCCCAAAAAATCGCCTTCTACTACACTATGGATTACTATCTACATATTCATAGTATTTATTTTTTTATTTTAATTATTAAACTTTTATTTTTTGCAATTGCATCATTTCAAGTCACATTAGCATGAGTTTTTTTATTTAAATTACTTTTAATTTGCATTTACATTATCTCGCACGTATAAATTTTTTATGAATATTTAAGTATGAATTTAAAATATATTCCACAAAATTAGGCTTTAATTATAATTAGAAATAGAAATTAAATTAAGGGGGACCAACTTTAACAAAGAACAACAAAACATATCTCATTTGGATCTTGTCTTGGAAAACTTTAATTTGATCCCTAAAGTCTCAATTTTCCTATTATTTAGTCACTATTGTTTTAAAAATTCACTTTTTTATACTAAACATTATTTTCTTCACTGTCCCGGAATATAAGAAATAAAAGAGAGTTTTTGAAAACATTCGAAGAGAATTCTTGGATGATCACATTTTGACCACCAGAAAGTTAATGTTTAAATCAAAAAATTCGTTCTCTCACGAGAAGTTCAATGGGGTGGTTTTTTTCAACATTATTTAGTTTTTTTTATTCATTTAATTTTGAATTTTTTTATTCATTTAATTTTAAATTTTTCATTTGATTTTGAAGTTTTAGAGTGATTAGAGAGTGCTTGAAGTAAGAAATTGGTTTATTAAATTTTCTATATAATTTTTAAAGTGTTTTTGAGTGAAAACAAGTTTAAAAATATTTTTTTTTTGCATGGGTAAAAAAACCTAAAACATACCATGCATTGTCTATTCCTATAAAAAAAATGTTGCCAAGTGCGCAGGCTTATCATCTAGCTTTATATATATATATTGTGTATTTAAATATTGATCAATGTCCTCTCTCTTAAAAAAAAAATATTTGGTTTAATTTTATTTTTAATTAGTAATTGATATTTTACAATCATTGGGTTTTTTTGTTTTTTAATGCAATTATAGGTGTACCTTTTTTATGATCTATACTCCCCACAAAAGAATTATTATACCAATTTAAGATATTTCTATATGTGTATTATTTAACATGTGAGATGACATCTCTTCAAAAGAAAATCATTAACAGAACGCAAATTAATCAATAAAATGGAAAATTAACCTCTTCACGTCTAGGGACCCAGCTGTTAGCCCGAAGATCAAGAACATCACGAACCATGAACCTACACCGTGGTGCAAGATGTGGATTTGTTGTCAACTCCTTCAACCTGCTGAAATAAACATCATTAACCCGCCGAGCTTTTGGGTTTTCATCCAGTTGCTTGCCTATGGTGTTGAAAAATTGACATATTGCCTCGACATTTTCTTCTGCTGGGCAAGTTTTACTGTCATTGCCCAATAATTCCTGCATCACACAAGATACCCACACTCAGCAATCTAATTACTGCAAAGAAAAACAATGAGAAACAAATTGGTTTTAATAAGGACCTGAACAATATGGTGGACAATCTTTTCAGGCACCATCTTCTGCTTCAAAAGTTCCCCGATAAGGCGCATGTTCCCCATAGTTCGCAGCTTAACCAATCGTTCCTTATCCCTGCGTTCCATTTCTTGTTCAGGACCAGTCAACTTGCTAATTTCTGCCCTCAGATTGCCAGCACCTTCAAATGCCTCCTGGCAATTGTTCAAGAGAATCCGCTTAAAAGTGATTTCTTTCCCACCATGTTATAGTAACAGATCAACTAAACGACCACATACCCTTTCACTGTCTTCAAGACACGTTCCTCCTCGGAGAGATTGCCTCTTCGAACTGACCATGGCACTTCAGCCTTGATCAGAGCAGGAGCAGGCCCTACCTGGTTTGAACAAGATGTTAAGACCATTGTTTCAAAATAAATATTGAAATAATGCTAAACATGCATTAAAATGACAATGAACATCATTTCTTTATCACACAGGCAGTGTTAATACCTTTTGCATTATTATAAACAGGCAAACTATGCATTTCAGAATGATCTAGCTAAAAAGTTACCCGTTGGTTAGCAGTGATTTGAGCACTTGCACACTCAGGAAATAACATTTTAGTTAAGCAATGATATGTAGCATATTCAAATATACATGAAACTTGCAAGCCTTACCTCCATGTCCATCATAAACAACAAAGAATGAAGTGGTTGCATCCAAATCAGTTATTGAAGCATGCTAGGAACACAAATAACAATAACCATATAACAAACAGCATATCATTTGCTTAAAAAATAAAATAAAGTATAAAACAAATGCAATAACACATGTTATGAAATTTGCTAACATGTGAATGCAGACCTCAACAACAATATTTCAGAATAGAAACGGACAAGACAGAAAAATTATAAATTAAGTGAGGTGTTCATGCTTAACAAGTTTTTGAGCATTGATCAACTGTTTGTGGAAACCATGCCAAGAAAAAAAAAAGTTAATGGAGTCGTCCCAGTTGGGAAAGTTTCTGCTCAACCAAATTTATCATTAGTACTGTCATAACAAAATCTTTCAAGACATCTCCACTTAAATTCATTAACACATTCATATTCCGGGCAAATTAATGGGCATCAAGGTTGTTGGTAACAAGACTGAAAAAATTTGAATATTCGCATAGATCAAATGCTGGGCTAACTACTCACTGCATCTTTCATGGTTGCACGCCAACCTTGCATGGATGATAAACCATATCTAAGCCTACCATTCTCGCCATCCTCTGAAAATTTCTCCGTCTTAGGAGAACTAAGGTATATCCCCATCACCATCTGAAATCAAAGAGCAAGTAACATTAAACACCCAAATACGAAAAATTTGGAGCAAACAACTCCGTCCAACAGAAACGCAAAGTACAACATAACTAGAATCTCATGCGCACACTTCAGTCCTAGCCCTAACATATTCTTCAGTTACCAAAATTCTGAAAATTCAGCCTTTGATGCTTAACACTGGCCCAACCTACTGACAAAATCAAGCCATTTCATTTTAAATACCTTTTAAAATAAGATTATCGCCAAACTTGTTTCTATTCCTGATTCATCACAGTACACCAAGTCATTAACTGATCAAATCAAATCCAAACCATCAACAAACAAGTAGAGGTTTCAATGTTGTTAATATCCTTGTACAAAAAACTGCATGTCAAGATCCAAGATCAACTCAAACCAGGTAAGTATAAAAACCCAAAAGCCAATTTAAAAGGCAGTAAATGGATAACAGAAGTTTCAGATCAAAGAAAACAACAGAACAGAACAAAACTAGATCAAATCCCAAGTTGCAACTCCAATAAATGTTAAAATAAAGAAAGATACAACATTAACCACATAGTAATCTGAACCACAGTAATTAAAAAAAAAGAACTTTCCACAAAGCAAAACCTACTTTAAATTAAAAAATAAACTGCCAAACTCCCATCAAAGGATATCAATAACACTACATAACATCACGACCAGATAACAATTTCAGATACTATAACACAACAGGGAAAAAAAAAACTTCAGAAATCAAGAAAGTTCAAAACTTTAAACTAGCAGGTACCTTATTGGGAGGGAAAGATCAGAGACAAAGGAACAGAGAGAGAGGGGAGGGGGGGTGTCAGGACTTAGTCAATGAAGATGATGGTATCTTCTCGAGTACTTGGAAGGAATAAATAATAAAGAAAGGAAGAAAGGACTCCCTCCCTCCCTCCCTCCCTACATTTATATAAAAAGGATTTGATTAGTTTGGAAGATCAAAGACGGGACCTTTGCCTTGATTTACTATTGTTTACAGTTTGTACTGTTGAGGTTGATAAGCATGTGGTAATCATGTCTTGTCAGCATTAGAGTGGAAGGAATGTGAAATGTATGTCAGCATTAGCATGTGGTAATCATGTCTATAAGCTATATTTTTATTTATTAATTTAATCTAGCAAGCAACATGCTGCATGTGTAAAAAAACCTAAAACATACACCGCTTTGTCTCTTCCTATGAAAACAATTGCCAAGGTTGCTTGATGGTAGGCCTTTGTGAGCCTAGCTAGTTAGGTCTATCATCTAGACTTTATATATATATATATATATATATATATTTATTTTGTTTATTTAATTATTGATTAATGCCCTCTCTTTTTAAAAAAAAATTATATGGTTTGATTTTATTTTTAATTAGTTTACATGTTATTTATAGTTTTATAATGTTTCAAGGAGACTAGTATAATTTGTCTTCAGTTTTTCTCCTTTTATAGTTAAAATAAATTAATTATATTTGGATAACACATTTGTAAAAATGTAAATCCTTTGTTAATAGCAATGCACAATTTGCTTCGAAAATAAAATGAATAAAAACATATAAAATAAAAAGGAAAGTTGAGGTAATATATACACACACACTATGAAGATTAGCTTTTCATTTTAATATTTAAATAATATTAACAACTTTTTTATTTATTAATTCATATATTTATTAATTTATTTTATAATACAAGAATAATATTTTTTATTAAAAAATCATAATACAGGAAAATACATCCACATTATAATTATTTTTTATATTAAAAAACAACTTAGAATTCTAACCGCATCATAGCATGACCACAAAGATAAAGGATGTCTATATAAATTCAATGTTACTTGTAGTTATTTTTTAGTGTTTGAGAATGTGATAAATGTTTTTTTGAAGTATTTTTATTTTAAAATATATTTAAATATTTATTTTTTATTTTTATTATCAACACATTAAAATAATTTAAAAATACCTAAAACAATTAATTCAAAATTTAAAATCAAAATAAAATCATTAACAGAACTCATATTAATTTTAGATATAGTTTCGTATTTGTATAATGGTAGTTTTTCGTTTTTTTATTAGATTCCACACATAATATTATAATTTTTAATTTTTTAAAAGCTAAAATAATTATTTATTTATTTATTTTACATATGAAAACTCATATCAGAACAATTTTAACCTAATATATAATTGGCATACTACATCCTAACATTATTATTTGTTGCTACAATGAATTCATGGTTTGGTTGGTATGGAGCATGTATATAATATCATTTCTCACTATTTTTATTTTCTGGAGTCAATTTGTGGAAGATCCTCAGCAAACAAGGCAAAAATGAGAACTGTGCTTTACAATTGCCTACCTGATTTGAGCTTTATTTTAACTGACTTTTCTTTGAAATGGAGGCCTAAACGTTTTGTTAATGAAATAAAAAGAGTTTGAAATTATAGTAATAATTATTTTTTAAGATATTTTTAATCTGAAAATACATTAAAATAATATTTTTTTTATTTTTATAAAATTATTTTTAGTATGGTACATTAAAATAATTGAAAAATATAAAAATTTAATTTTAAAAGAAAATTTTCAAAATTTTCGGAAACTCCATTCATTCCCAAACGGGAAGAGTTCTTGAGTTCAATTATGAGGCTTAGCGCTGTTCAAGGCCATCGGGGATTGGATTCAGAGTTACTTGAGTCACCAAGTCTGAGAATAACACAGTGCATCTTGTTTACTTCGGCAGGAAAGGAATAGAACAGTTGATGATGCTAAAACTCTCCACAAGCGTATTCTAGTAAAGCAGGTAGGGCAGGCTGTCCAAATTTAGAGACTGAAAAACTACAATGTTGCAGGAAGTGAGAAATAATCCCAGATATGTGGGCTTGTGTAGACCAATGGAATCTTCAATCATAAGCTGAATCCAGCAGTTTTAACAATGTCTCTGCTTCCCGCATCTCTCTCCATTTCTTTGCTTCTTCCCATTGACTACATGACGCATACAAGTTACAGAACATCCAAAGCTCCCCGTCACCATGGTAATTAGCCCTGGAAGAGACAATCTTTAGAACTCTCTCACCAGTTTCAAGATCTTGATGAACTATACAGGCACTAAGAGAAGCACCCAGGATGGCTTTTTGGGGTTACATGGGGACTTGATGATGCAGGTCCGTTATTAGTGGCTTATATTTGTACTTCAAATCCTTTTTCCAGGGACCCTAAATGAGCACAAGCAGATAGAACACCAGTTACACACTAAGATAATCAGGCAAGCAATTTGTATTCCATGTGATGATGTTCTTTGCTGGCATTTCCTTGAACAAAGCACAAGCTCTGTCCATATCTTCACCTTGGATATATGCTGATATTTTTGACTTCCATTGGACAGTATCTTTCTCTGCAATGAATCGAAGATGCTTCTCGCAGACACTGTCTTTCCGATGCCTGGGTACCATGGGATCAAGATACTGAAAGATGAGAGGTCCTTTAAAGGCATGGAATTGAACACATTCAGTGCTTCATCCATCTGATGATCAGTAGAAGCATGTGCATCTAAAATGGAATCCCAAGCACTCACATCTTTGACTGGCATCTTCTCAAACAATTCACAAGCATCAGTCTGGACGAAAACATTGCTGGAGAAACCAGATTTTATTGTCCGGCCATGGAGAGCATGTTGAGTTAATAATAAATTTAATTTTTTTTAGGAATTTCAAGAATATTTAAAGTTATTTAGAGTTTATATAAAGATTAATCAAAGATCATCATATTTACTTTCAGCTTTAAATGATTACTTTAAAGCTTCATTGCAGCAAACTACAAACCATTTAAGTATTTGACCTTTAACAGCAATCCACATAAATTACCAATAAAAAATCTCATAATTTTTTTTAGAAAATATAGACTATTATGACTTTAAATTCTAACTCTTTTTTT